AAAAAAGAAGAAAAAAAAAAAGAAAAGAAAAAGAATGGTAAATATCTGTAATTACAAAGAGTTCTTACAACTGATGAGAAAGACAGCTCAATGGGAATATGTGTAAAGTACATTAATAGCTCCCTCCTGGCCTCAAGTGATCCTCCCACCCCAGCCTCCTGAGTAGCTGGGACCACAGGTGAATGCTACCACACCTGGCTAATTTTCTGTAGAGACAAGGTTTCATTATGTTGCCCAGGCTGGTCTTGAACTCATGGGCTCAAGTAATCTGCCTACATTGGCTTCTCAAAATGCGGCGATTACAGGCAAGAGCCTGGCCTAACGATTCATTAAAGCTGCGTTTCTTTCCTTTGCAGTCTTATTCTCAGCAGCTGTTGCCATTCCCAGGTAAAGCCTGATTTGCTTAAGATAGCTTTCATTCTAGCAAGATGAACCAAATCTAGATTTATAGTCAAGGCATTTTTGATTTAGGGTGATGTGTTAAAAGTTGAATACAGTTTAGTACTTTTCCAGGGGAAACCATGCTACAAATAGGTATTTGATTCCATCGTCAACCCCTAACAACCTCTCTGAACCCGTAGGATACCCTCTGATATTACTAGGTAGTTTCTATCAAAATCAGTGTCATTTTAGAAGGAAAAAATATATATACAAAGATATATAAATATAAATAAATCTTTGTGACTTTAGGGGTAAATAGTGGAACTTGTTAAAGAGGAAACGAAAGGCATACATTTTATTTTAATTTCTTTTAAAAAGTTAAAAACTTATTTAAAAAATTAAAAATTTTAAATAATTGAGCCAAGGTCTTGCTGTGTTGCCCAGGCTGGCCTCAAGCTCCTGGGCTCATGCGACCCTCTCCCCTCGACCTCCCAAAGCGTTGGGATTACAGGCGTGAGCCACGGCGCCTGGCCAAAAAGCATACATTTTCTACAGACCTGTTACCCGTATCCCACTTGATTGTCTGGCACTCAGACAGCTGCATCCCAAATCATCATCATCATCATCCAGATTTTTTGAATAGTTTACTGTTTAAGAGCCCTTTCCCATGCTTTGTCGCATTTACCGTTATAAACCAGCTTTAGAGAGGAAGAGACTGACGCTCAGAGAGACAAAGTAACTCATCCCTTACCATTCCGCAATCCCACAGTCCCACAGTCCCACAGGGCAGAGCTGGGATTTGAACCCCGCGGATTCCAGAGTGCCTACCTTAGCCACCTTCAGCACCCTGACTTCTTGGTGCAGAATCAGCTCAGCACAGCACTGATCCCTCAAGAACTGCTTGACTCTGTGCCTGGCATCCTTCTCTCCATCCTTCTAGTCCCCCTGGGGCTGGAGGCTGTGTGTTAGGAAGGCATCCAGCCTGTTCCTGGGTTGTCATACTGGTCCTGGAAGCCTGCCATCTCTGTGGGACCAGGAATGAATCGTCTCTGCCTCTGCCCAGCCCTGTAAGTGGCAGCTCCCAGCCTTTGTCCAGCAGGTCTCAAAACTGCAGATGGGGTGAGTTAGAGATTTAGCTTTTTTTTTTTTTGAGATGGAGTTTCGCTTTTGTTGCCCGGGCTGGAGTGCAATCTCGGCTCACTGCAACCTCCTCCTCCCAGGTTCAAGCGATTCTCCTGCCGCAGCCTCCTGAGTAGCTGGGATTACAGGCGTCCGCCACCACGCCCAGCTAATTTTGTATTTTTAGTAGAAACAGGATTTCTCCAGGTCGGTCAGGCTGGTCTCGAATTCCGGACCTCAGGTGATCCACCGTCCTTGGCCTCCCAAAGTGCTGGAATTACAGGCATGAGCCACTGTGCCATGCCTTTTTTTTTTTTTCCTGATACAGAGTTTTGCTCTCTCACCCAGGCTTGAGTGCAGTGTGGCACTGCAAACCTTCGCTCCCCGGGTTCAAGCGATTTTCCCACCTCAGCCTCCCACTTAGCTGGGATTACAGGCGCCCGCCACCACGCCAAGCTAATTTTTTTTTTTTAAGACAGGGTTTCGCCATGTTGGTCAGGCTGGTCTTGAACTCCTGACCTCAGTTGATCTGCCCGCCTTGGCCTCCAAAGTGCTTGGATTACAGGCATGAGCCACCAGGCCTGGCCTAATTTTTTTTTTTTTTTTTTTTTTTTTTTAGGCAGAGCCTCACCCTGTTGCTCAGATTAGATTGCAGTGGCACGATCTCGGCTCACTGCAACCTCCTCCTCTGGGATTCAAACGATTCTCCTGCCTCAGCCTCCCAAGTAGCTGGGATTACAGGTGTGTGCCACTGTGCCAGCTAATTTTTATATTTTTAGTAGAGACAGGGTTTCACCATGTTGGCCAGGCTGGTCTCGAACTCCTGACCTCTTGAACTGCCCACCTCGGCCTCCCAAAGTGCTGGAATTACAGGCGTGAGCCACTGTGCCAGGCCCTAAAACTCTGTCTGTAGAAAATATTCAAAAAAATTAGCCAGGCATGGTAGCATGCACCTGTAGTCCCAGCTACTCGAGAGGTTGAGATGGGAGGATCACCTGAGCCTGGGAAGTCAAGACTGCAGTGAGCTGTGATCAAACCACTGCACTCCAGCCTGGGCAACAGAGTGAGACTCTGTCTTTAAAAAGTTAAAATAAAAATGTCCAGATTCATGACACCCTGTCTCTCATTCTGCTTGATGGAATAAAGGATACTGAGCCTGGAAAAACTGGCTTAGAAGATGCAGGCCGGGCGTGGTGGCTCACACCTGTAATCCCAGCATTTTGGGAGGCTGAGGTGGGTGGATCACAAGGTCAAGAGATTGAGATCATCCTGGCCAACATGGTGAAACCCCACCTCTACTAAAAAATACAAAAATTAGCTGGGCATGGTGTTGTGCACCTGTAGTCCCAGCTACTTGGGAGGCTGAGGCAGGAGAATTGCTTGAACCTGGGAGGCAGAGGTTGCAGTGAGCTGAAGATCGGGCCACTGCACTCCAGCCTGGCGCCTGGGGACAGAGTGAGACTCTGTCTCAAAAAAAAAAAAAAAAAAAAAAAGAAGAAGAAGAAGAAGATTCAACAGTTGCCTTGGAGAGGGGAAAAGCACTGTGTCCAGAGATGCCTGTGAAGAGTTTGAGTTAAAAATCCTTTTTGAAAACTGAAAGGGGAAAAGAGTAATACTTACATATAGTACCCCCATAACCTATATAAATGTATAGGTGTATCTAAATAAATTAACTAAATATTGGAAGCGCATATTTCATTTCCTGTAAGCTTAATCAGGGCTACATCAATATATTTTTATTTATTATTCATTTATTTATTTTTATGTTTTTTCTCCATTGGTTTGTGTGATTCTGAAACACATTTTTTTATTTTCTTACTGGCAAATATTTGTTATTAGTCCACTGGGAAAACTGATTGGAATTGGGGATCACCTTGTATTAGGGCATTTTTGGTAGATGTGCTCATATTTTACAAACTGTGGCTTCCAGTACATGCTTCTCACAGGAAACTGACATTTTTGTCAATTTTCCTCTCTTCCACAAGGTGGTGCTGCACACGCACCTGAAACAACCACCATTTCTAGTTCCTAGGATCCTAGTGCGAAGAGGCAGAGGGGATCTGCTTAACCCTTGTTTTGCAGGAGGCGGACAGGAGCCCCGAGTGTTCACCAGGGCTCTTTGACATGATGGTATTAAAATTCACCCCAATAGCTATTACTTATCAAGCACTTTGTGTATACCAGGCTCTTTACGCAGTTTATTTTATTCTTTTATTTTTTTGTGATGGGGTCTGGCTCCATCACCCATGCTGGAGTATGTGGCATGATCTCAGCTCACTGCAACCTCACCTCCCAGGCTCAAGTGATTCTCCCACCTCAGCCTCCTGAGTAGCTGAGACTACAAGTACGCACCACCACATCAGGCTAATTTCTGTATTTTTTTTTGTAGAGACGGGGTTTTGCTATGCTGCCCAGGCTGGTCTCAAACTCCTGGGCTCCAGAGATCCACCTGCCTTGACCTCCCAAAGTGCTGGGATTAGAGGCATGAGCCTCTGCACCCAGACTCTTTTCACAGTTAAATTCCCATAATCCTCATAAGACTCTGTAATGTAAGTTCACACCATATTACATATGAGGAAATTGAGTCTCAGAAAGATAATGTGACCTGCCCAGAGTCACACAGCAAAGAAGTAGACAAGGTGTGATTCTTCTATTTTTTTTTTTTTTTTTAGATTAGGGAGGCCAGACAGACAAGCTGATTCAAACCCAGGATCCCTGATTCTAAATGCCAGAGGCTTACCCACAACATTGTCCTCCTGCACGAGGCTTGGAGAATACAGAAAAGAATAAGGCAGCCCCATTCTATGGGCAGCTTGTTGTGTGTCTTCTCTACTGGAAATCTTCAGGTGAGATGCTCATGGTCCCAGGGTCTAGCACAGAGCTTGGCACACAGTGGGGCCTCAATGAATGTTGGCGCACAGTGGGGCCTCAGTTAATGAATGAATGACACCATGTTTCCTCGGAGCACTTGAATCTTGTGACTGTATTTTTTAGTCCATAAAAGGGATAGACTGTGGAGGACAGAGAACTTCCTGGTGCCTTTCTGCTTGTCCCATCGAGGCTTCTATCAAGGGTCCCCACCTTTGAGTATAGTGACTCAACCACAGTGGACCATCCCAAAGGTCCCCTCTGGTTCTGTATCGCAGACATTCTGTGCATGGAGGCTTCTTCATTTACCCCAGGGTTTCTTAACATTTTGGAGTCTTGTGCATGCCGGAGAAGATGATGAATGCAAGGGGCCCTTTCTCTAGAAAACATGTCTATGCTTATATTCTGCACGCAATTTCAGAGGCTTCCTGAAATTTTTTTTTTCCAAAATGCAAAATTTCCTTCTATTGCCCCCATCATTTGCACACATTTTTGTCAAGTCCAAACATAATTTGAAGTGAGGTAGGCAGTTTCTCTCTCCTTGTGCTGTTGTCCTGGGGGTGATGTCGGGGCCTGTGCCCTGAACATGCTGGGGCAGTGCCAGGGCTGGCACCAGTGGCTGGTGGAGCTTCTCAGTTGGCTATATTCTCAATCTCGTCCAAATCATCTGTGTCCAATCTTTCTATCTTCTTATGAAAATGCCCCTGGATTCCATTCAGAATGTTCATGCTGGGCTTGGTGTCCACCATGTTCACTGCCAGTCCCCTCCTGCCAAAGCGGCCCGTGTGTCCGATCCGGTGCAGGTAGGTCTCATTGTCAGGGGTCCCATCCTGGTCCACGGGAAGATCAAAGTTGATGATGAAAGACACTTGTTCGACATCCGTCCTGCAGGTGCACACGGTGGTGGTCACCAGAACCTTCTCTTTGCCCCCTCGGAAGTGCTCAGTCCCCACAGCCCTCTGCTCCACCATCATCTCCCCACTCAGCAGAGCCACCTGGTGGCCTTCTTTTGAGAGCTCTGCCGCCAGCCAGCTAGTGGTTTTGTGAGTGTGGCAGAAGATGATGGCTTGAGCAATGGTGTGTAGCGGTTACACAGGGCCTGGAACTTCTCACCTCTGCTGCTGCACAGGACACAGTACTGCTTGGTGGTGTCCAGGGTCTCTTCCTCTCACTTCAGTTTGTTAACGTTTGGATCTGGGACCACTTTCTGGGCCAATTTCCACACAGAGTCTTCAAAGGTGGCGGAGAAAAGCAGCATCTGGCAGTTCCTGGGCAGCATCCTCTGGATGCAGATGCTCTGATCCTGGTGGCCCTGAGTGGCTATCGTGACGTCAGCCTCATCCAGAACAAACACCTTGATTTTCTTGGGATCAATGAACTTGAGCTTGGAGCACTAGTCCAGCACAGTCCCGGGGGTGCCAATGATAATCTGCTCACTGGTCTTCTGGACTCTTTCCAATTTATTGCCTCAAATGGCAGAGGCAAGCTTCAGTTCTTCCGCAGATGGGTAAAATGTGCCCCTCTGCTCAATTGCTTTTCCTGTTTGAAGCACCAGCTCATATGTTGGGGAGAGGCAGAGACGCCGGGGTATCTGTCTGCTGGCTCCACTCGGCTGAGCACGGCCAGGAGAAAGGCAGCTGTTTTACCAGTGCCAGACTGAGACTGGGCAATCAGATTCTGTGGGGGATCAGCAAGTATCATGGGTAACACGTTCTCTTGTATCTTGGATGGTCGGTGGAAGCCCATAGCATGGACTCCCTTGAGAAGCCGTGGTTTCAACCGAAGCTCTTCAAAAGACTTCACTGAGGCCGGGCGCGGTGGCTCAAGCCTGTAATCCCAGCACTTTGGGAGGCTGAGGCGGGTGGATCACGAGGTCAAGAGATCGAGACCATCCTGGTCAACATGGTGAAACCCTGTCTCTACTAAAGATACAAAACATTAGCTGGGCATGGTGGCGCGTGCCTGTAATCCCAGCTACTCAGGAGGCTGAGGCAGGAGAATTGCCTGAACCCAGGAGGCGGAGGTTGCGGTGAGCCGAGATCGCGCCATTGCACTCCAGCCTGGGTAACAAGAGCGAAACTCCGTCTCAAAAAAAAAAAAAAAAAAAAGACTTCACTGAGTACAGGGGGGAGTTTGGATCCTGCTGCGGGACTTCCACTTGGTTTGTGTTATCCACAAGGTTGCTTCTGATCAGCTCGTTGAGTAAGGACTGTGCAGCCCTGTCCTCTTTCTCCTCTTCATCTGTTTTCTTGGCAGTGGTACTGGTTTTGATAATACCATCAGTGTCTGCTTTGACTTTCTCTTCCTTGATCTGCAAATTGGTCATTGACTTTACAGCCACTTCCTGTTCATCCACCGCCAGGGCCCACGAGTCGGTGGCCATAGTCCCAGAAAAGAGACCCGCTTGTGAAAATATGAGCTGCACCACATCCCAACGCCCTTTTTTTTTGGGGGGGGGCTGTGATATCGATTTATTGCAGCTCCAATCTGAGTCCACTCCTACTCACACCCTGATTCTCAGGGGCTTGGGGAAGGCTACCCAACCAGACCTTGGACATGGGAATCTTTCCCAAGCAGGGGTGCTGTCCTTCTTGGGGGCTCCCACATCTCTCCCGGGCCTGTCCGAGCTCTGGGCAGGGCTGGCACGTGGCTATTAAGAATCTTTTCTGTGGGGCTAGATGCAGTGGTCATGTCTGTAATCTGAGCATTTTGGGAGGTCAAGGTGGGTGGATCACTTGAGGTCAGGAGTTCAAGACCAGCCTGGCCAACATGGTGAAACCCCATCTCCACTAAAAATACAAAAGAATTAGTGAAGTGTGGTGGTGGGTGCCTATAATCCAAGCTGCTTGGGAGGCTGAGGCAGGAGAATCGCTTAAACCGGGGAGGCAGAGGTCGCGGTGAACCAAGATTGCACCACAGCACACCAGCCTGGGTGTCAGAGTGAGACTCTGTCTCAAAAAAATAAAAGAACGAATCTCTTATTTTTTATTTTTCAAAATTTTTGTTAGAGATAGAGGGGCATCTCAGTATGTTGTCTAGGCTGGAGTCAAACTCCCGGGCGCAAAGGATCCTATTGCTTCGTTCAGCCTCCTGAATAGCTGGGATTACAGTGCATGCCACCATATGTGGCTTCTCCTGTAGAAGATTCTTGAGAACCAAAAGACATCCTAAACAAGAGTCCCATCTCAAACCTTTTTCCTGAATTTCGACTGTGCATCCTGCTGAGTGTTAAGGGATACTGTAGGAAGAATCAGCAGTCTTCAGATCAATCAGAAGGGAGCCCTGGGGCAGCAGGGCACCTGGTCAACAGCCTCTCAGGTCTCAAGCCACACAGGGGCATCTGAGTGTTTCCCACCTCCCCAGTAAGCCTGCAACTTTTTCTTCCGTCTGGCCCCCATTTTAGAGCCTTGCATCAGTTTCTCCAAGAGAAGCCTGTTTAATCCTGAATTGCCTCTAATAACCACATTCAAAAAAATTTTTTTGAGATGGATTCTTGCTCTTGTTGCCCAGGCTGGAGTGCAGTGGCACAATCTTGGCTCACTGCAACCTCCGCCTCCTGGGTTCAAGTGATTCTCCTGCCTCAGCCTCCCGAACAGCTGGGATTACAGGCACCGCCACCGTGCCTGGCTAATTTTTGAATTTTTTGTAGAAACGGGATTTCACCATATTGGCCAGGCTGGTCTCGAACTCCTGACCTCAGGTGATCTGGCCACCGAGGCCTCCCAAAGTGCTGGAATTACAGGCATGAGCCACTGTGCCTGACTGTAACCACATTTTAAAATCTTGTTTCCAACAGGTATCCCAGGAAGTACAAAAAACAGTTGCACTCAGGGTTATAAGTTCAAAGTTGCCCTCATCCCAACCATCATCAATAAAATGCAAGAATGGTTTTCTTCTTTTCGTTAATGCTGAAAATAAGATTTTGCTATTTGTTGGGATCATATGTATTGAGCACATTTGGGTAACTTGTGACTCTGGGTCACAAAATAAGACTGGGCTTTTGAAAATGTGAGTAGATAAGGTGGAGTGAGGGGGTGGGATAAGCTCATAGCTGGCTGCAAAAGCCTATCCAGGGTTTGTGGAGCTTCTACAATTTTCTAGATCCTGTTTAAGAAAAACGACATAAAATAGTGAATACGAATTTCAGTTCAAAAGTGTTGCTGTTTCTGACCTATGTCATTTTCCTTGTTTCTGAACACTTTTTTTTTTTAAAATTTAACATTTCTTGCAAGACAGATCTACTGGCGGTAAATAACTGACACATTTTGCCTAAATCCAACCCTCATTTTTTCTGCATTTATGAAATGGAAATCTATATTCCTCCAACATGCCCCACCATTTTTTGCTCACCTGAAAGTTCTTTATTTCTCTTTCACTTTTGAAAGATAATTTTGATGGGTACAGAATCCTAGATGTGTGGGTTTCTTCTTTCAACACTAGGTATTTTACTCCACTCTCCTCTTTCTTATATAGTTCCTGACGAGTTCCATGTAATCCTTGTTTTTCTTCCAAGACAGGGTTTCACTCTGCCCAAGCTGGAGTGCAGTGGCATGATCTTGACTTACTGTAGCCTCAACCTCCTAGGCTCAAGCAATCCTCTTGCCTCAACCTCCCGAGTAGCTGGAACCACAGGCACATATCATCAATCCCGGCTAATTTTTTGTAGAGATGGGGTTTCTCTATGTTGCCCAGGCTGGTCTCAAACTCCTGAGCTCAAGCAATCCTCCTGCCTTAGCCTCCAAAGTGTTGGGATTATAAGTGTGAGCCACTGTAATTACACTGGGATTATAAGTGTAAGCCAGTGTAAGTCTTTTTTTTTTTTTTTTTTTGAGATGGAGTTTTGCTCTTGTTACCCAGGCTGGAGTGCAATGGCGCGATCTCGGCTCACCGCAACCTCCGCCTCCTGGGTTCAGGCAATTCTCCTGCCTCAGCCTCCTGAGTAGCTGGGATTACAGGCACGTGCCACCATGCCCAGCTAATTTTTTGTATTTTTAGTAGAGACAGGATTTCACCATGTTGACCAGGATGGTCTCAATCTCTTGACCTCGTGATCCACCCGCCTCGGCCTCCCAGAGTGCTGGGATCACAGGCTTGAGCCACCGCGCCCGGCCGAAGCCAGTGTAATTCTTATACTAGTTCCTCTACAAGTAATGTGCATATTTTCCTTTGGCTTCTTTCAAAGTTTTTTTTTTTTTTTCTTTTTCTTTTTTTTTTTTGAGATGAAGTCTTGCTCTGTTGTCCAGGCTGGAGTACAGTGGGGCAATTTCAGCTCATTGCAGTCTCCACCTCCTTAGTTTAAGCAATTCTCCTGATTCAGCTTCCTGAGTAGGTGGGATTACTGGTGCCTACCACCTCACCCGGCTAATTTTTGCCTTTTTAGTAGAAACTGTGTTTCACCATGTTGGCCAGGCTGGTCTTGAACTCCTGACCTCAAGTGATCTGCCCGCCTCGGCCTCCCAAAGTGCTGGGATTACAGGCGTGAACCACTGCACCTGGCTTCTTTCACAGTTTTTAATCTTTGATTTTATAAAATTTGAATATGAGACGATGAGATATTGACTTCTTTGTATTTATCCTGTTTGGTGTTCTGAGATTCCTGGATCTGTGGCTTGGTGTCTGTCAATAATTTTGGTAAGTTCTCAGGCACTATTAAAGTATTTCTTCTGCTCCTCTCATTCTTCTCCTTTTAGTATTCCCTTTACAAAGATGTTATCCCTTTTGTAATTGTCCTGCCATTTTTAGATATCCTTTTCTGTTTTCCTCAGTCTTTTTTTTCTCTTGCTTTTCAGCTTGGGAAGTTCTACTGACATTTCTTCAGGCTCACTGATTCCTTCCTTAACCATGTGCAGTCCACTGATGAGCCCATCAAAGGCCTTCTCCATTTCTGTTATAGCATTTTTTATTTCTAGCATTCCCTTATGATTCTTTCTTAGTGTTTCCACTTCTCTGCTTACATATCATTGGTTCTTACATTGCTTCCACTTTTTCCATTAGAGCCTTTAGCATATTAATCATAGTTATTTTAAATTCTCAACCTGATAATCATCAAATCTCTGTATATCTCAGTCTGGTTCTGATACATGCTCCATCTTTTCAAACTGTGGTTTTTGCCCTTGAGTATGCTTTGAAAATTTTAGGATGAAGATGAAAGAGTTGTTCTGTTTCAAAGAAAATAGGTACTGGCTGGGTGTGGTGGCTCGTCCCTGTAATCCCAGCACTTTGGGAGGCCGAGGCGGGCACGTCACCTGAGATCAGGAGTTTGAGATCAGCCTGGCCAACATGGCAAAACCCAATCTCTACTATAAATACAAAGATTAGCCAGGCATGATGGCATGCACCTGTAATTCCAGCTACTCGGGAGGCTGAGGTGGGAGAATCGCTTGAATCTGGGAGGCAGAGATTGCAGTAAGCTGAGATGGCACCATTGCACTCCAGCCTGGGCAACAAGAGCCAAACTCTTTCTCAAGAAAAAAAGAAAAAAGAGTCTTCCGATTATTTATCAGTTTGGGACAGGTGCTGAGGCTGAGGAGTGGCCAAGCACTGAAAGAATTTGACTGGTCATCCCAAGTGGTGTCCTTCAACTCTTAAAATCTGCAAAGCTGTCCAAAAGCATTTGTGCTTTTTCTTTTCTTTCTCTCTCTCTCTCTTTCCTTTTTTTCTTTTTTTTGAGGCTGAGTTTCACTCTTGTTGCCCAGGCTGAAGTGAAACGGCATGATCTCGGCTCACCGCAACCTCCGCCTCCGGGGTTCAGGTAATTCTCCTGCCTCAGCCTCCTGAGAAGCTGGGATTATAGGCACGTGCCACCATGCCCAGCTAATGTTTTGTATTTTTAGTAGAGACGGGGTTTCACCATGTTGACCAGGATGGTCTCGATCTCTTGACCTTGTGATCCGCCCACCTCGGCCTCCCAAAGTGCTGGGATTACAGGCTTGAGCCACCGCGCCCGGCTTTTTTTTTTTTTTTGAGGCTGAGTTTCACTCTTGTTGCCCAGGCTGGAGTGAAATGGCATGATCTCGGCTGACCACAACCTCTGCCTCCCCAGTTCAAGCGATTCTCCTGCCTCAGCCTCCTGATTAGCTGGGATTACAGGCATGCACCACCACACCCAGCTAATTGCTGTGTTTTTTTTTCTTTTGAGATGGAGTTTTGCTCTTGTTGCCCAGGCTGGAGTGCAGTGACACGATCTTGGCTCACTACAACCTCCACTTCCCAGGTTTGAGTGATTCTCCTGCCTCAGTCTCCCGAGTAGCTGGGATTACAGGCATGCACCACCATGCCCGGCTAATTTTGTATTTTTAGTAGAGACGAGGTTTCACCATGTTGGACAGGCTGGTTTCAAACTTCTGACCTCAAGTGATCCACCTGCCTTGGCCTCCCAAAGTGCTGGGATTACAGGTGTGAGCCACCACCCCCGGCCTAATTTCTGTGTTTT